AATTAATAAATTGTTAAATAAACTAATCTGCTCATCAACACTCTCTAAATTATCGATGACAGACAAATCAATCATTTGAGTATCAGCATGAAGAAGAGCGATATCCATACTACCAAAATTACGTTGCAGAAGAATTTTAGGCTTAGCCTTGGGGGGACGAATTTTACAGGAAAGATAATAAATATTGATAAAGAAAAGTATCAGCAGTGAATTGGCCATATTTGGAGATATGATCGATAGAAGAAACAATGATAAAATCAAGACGTGATGGTGTATAATTAGGAAAGAAGTGAGTGACATTAAGAGGAAGAATATGCATGTTGCACGCATTAATAAGGGACTTTACACTGTTTGAACGGATATCATCTTTTAGAAGGCATGATAGAATGACTATAAAACGGGGTGACATCTTCTAAAAGTTTCTCAAAAGAAGAGAATGTAAAAACGCCTAATAGATAAAGAGGCTGTAAAAACGCTTAATAGAACTTTGGAGTGAGAAAGAATGATCTCCAGGAAAAGATGTTCTGCAGTATCAGGTGGAGGGGGCTGTGGAAATCAACTGATAACAGTAAACGGTATGTAATTTCGTAAATATATAGCCACACCGCCATGAAAAGTGTTAGTGTGATCGTTGCGAATAAGTTGAAAACCAGAAAGAGAGTAAGATTGAGAGAGAAGAGAAGGTTGAATAAAGGATTCACAAACAAGTACGGCGTGAATATTTTTAGCTGAGAAAGTGGCAAGAAAACCAGGATAGTGAGCATTTCTGCTTAGGGCGTTAATATGCACTACATTGAAGTTCTTAGGAACTTCTGATGTTACAGAAGAGATACTTGTTTTAAGAGACGAGATACTGTCATTAATGTTCAATATATTGGGTTGGCACAAAAGTAATGAGACACACTAGAAAAATCTATAACATTTCCTTTTTAAAATCAATTTTTTCGATAATATTCTAGAATGTTGTAGAACATTCTATGTGTAGTACTTCTGGTGTAGGGTATATAAAGCCGCGCTCGCGATTTGTTTAGTCAGTTTGAAGAAAAATGGACGAGCGACAAGTTCGAACACTATACTTATACGAGTACTTGTTAGGCCACAGTGCGCGGGCTGCAGCTGACAATATCAACGATGCATTAGGCACTGGAAGTACAAGCCATGCGACGGTGTCCCGATGGTTTGACCGTTTTAAATCAGGAGACAGGAGCCTTGAAAGTCAGTCATGCTCAGGGCGACCACCCTCAGAGAATGATGACGATTTGCGCCGCGAACTGCAGTTGAATCCGGATGCTACCACTCGTGAATTAGCGGAAGCACTTAAATGCAGTCACCACGCCGTGGAACACCATCTGCATGAGCTTGGTTATCGAAAAGTTTTGGCTCGGTGGGTACCGCACATCCTTACAGACGCCAGTCGTGCAGTCCGTGTCGCTATCTGTCAGTCACTTTTGCTGCGACCCCGACGTAAAGAGTTTTTGTCAGATCTGGTTACTGGAGATGAATCATGGATTTATTACGAGAACGATACACGTCGTGCTTTTTGGCTGCCTCGAGAAGAAACGCCACCAACTCAACCGAAGCCAAGTCAAAAGAACCGCCGAAAAATTCTGTTTTGCTGTTTCTGGGATGCGCAAGGCATACTGTTTTATGAGCTATTACACAATGAAACTATAAACGCTGACAAATATTCAACCCAGCTTACCAAATTATCTGCCGCTATCAAGAAAAAACGACGAAGACGAGTCAATGTAGTTTTACTGCACGATAACGCTCGACCTCACGTCGCATCTGTGGTTCGCCGGCAGTTGGAGAACTTGGGCTGGGAGACGATACCCCACCCACCTTATTCCCCAGACCTCGCCCCATCAGACTATCATTTGTTTAGAGTCCTGAAACAGCATTTGCGGGGTAAACAATTTAATGATTTCTCTGACGTAGAGGCGGAGTTTAACAACTTTTTCGAGGCACAGTCATCAGAGTTCTGGGCAAAAGGCATCCAAACTTTGCCGGATCGTTGGCAAGAAGTCTTAGATACTAATGGTAATTACATCATTGACTAAACTTTTTTTATTGTAATAATAATAAAAAAGTAAAAACTTAAACCAAGTGTCTCATTACTTTTGTGCCAACCCGATATTTAAATTTATCACCTAAAGGTTATAATTTTGCATTACAACCCTTATACATCGGAATCATAGATATACTTGATAATTTAGAACTGAGCTTTATCCAGCTTAATTTAAAATTGCGGTTTTCGATCCCAGCTCTTGCGTCTTTTGGGAATGGTTGGGTTCAGGGCTACCTAAACTTAATATGACGGCTTACAATCTTTCATACTAACACAAGCAAAACCCCTTTCACATTAAAGCTATGTTCGTACTTTTATCCCTATTATACTAATTGGCGACCTCGCATTTAATTAACTTAACTAATCACCGAAACACTTGTACGCGTTTGAATATGTACGGAGGTTATATGAATAAATTTTATTTGATCTTCTTGTCATACCAATTAGAGCTTTGATGATAACGAAACATCCTAATTATAAATACCATATTCACATCAAATCAGCGTCTACCGAAACAGAAGTCATAAAGGCCACAGAGTCACTTCATGAGGAGTTTTCAAAAACCACGAATTGACCAAAGATCCATGACCAGTCTTCTCAAATTTCTATCAACAGATATCATATGTTTAGTAGAAAAATACTATTTATGAATTAGTAAATTTGAATTAATATTAAAAGAATCAAATTATGTGTCGATGGTCAAAGATAAATTAATTCCTGAACGCGTTGTGTTGAAATGTGTTGCTTTTACTAATTTAGCCTTGCAATTTCTTTACATTTTCTCGTCATATTTCATTAAGAAACGTTATTTTTATTGTGGTATATATGAGACTTATGACAAAGATATTTGAAGTAGAAATATTTTTATTACGTTATTAGCATATATGTTAATACATAAAGTATTTATTATTAACAATATTCCTAATAGTTAGAATATTCAAAACCACTTTTGTAACTTGTCTATATAAATTAGTGTATAAGCAACCTTGAAATTAATTACACACTAAAATACTACACTTAGAAATATATAAAGGCGATTTTTTTATAAAATACCTGTTATATTGTTGAATAGATATTTAACGATTACGAAATGGAATCATGTAGCTACCAGTATTATGAAAAATAAGAATATAGTTGTTCTTTATTGGTACTTAACAGTCTGCGCGAAGAAAGCTTGAGAACACTCTCGGAATAAAGTCAAAGTCACTTCTCTTTGTTCGAATTGATAGCATTAGTATAGCTCTTTTGAATAGAGGAATATTTTATCTCCACATATTCAGGATTTGAGTTGTAGGAAAAATAAATTGTTGGTATTATTATGTACTAATGTTAAGTGAAACTAATATTTACCGAAGTTCATATGATGTGTGAGCAGTAGTTAGGATATATGCGTGTTTATAATTAATAAAAATGATATTGTAGGTCACTACATAAATTTTGATAAAATTTCGTAAAAAATCTTATGTAGGTCTAAATATTGAGGTTTTATCTTGAGTGGAATCCAATGAGTGTTATTCAGAACTGTGCAATGAGGGAACGTATTCAACTAGGGCCTGTTTTATATATTTGCCGCACTCGCCAAAAATAATTATCACCACCCTGTATATTTATTTATCATAAACATAAAGGCCTTTTTTGGCCGCTTTGAGCAACTGTCCGGCTAATATCAAGTCTTTTTTTAAAAAAGAAATGTACCTCACACTTTAAATCATAGTTCTCCAACTACTAACTCGTACGGCATAACTTAAACAGCTATTTTTAACTAATTGACGAGACTTTGATTAAAATAAGAACTGTTATTAGCTACTAATAATAGTATTTTTACTACTTACACTTCTTACTTCATTCAAATTCTTGCTAATTTGCTAAAATATTTGCATTAGTTATTATATTTACTCTACTATAGATGTCGAAGAACTGTCTTTCTTCAAAGCCGTAAGCTGGCGGACCCTAGTCTCAACATTATCAATTCAACTCTTTTATATTTCATTGTATAAACGACTCTTTTCATAAACGTTCGCCAATTTTTATGTTTTCTCTCATCACGCTCCAATAATAGTTGATCAATTTCATAATGTTTGCTCATGTTAAATTACGTTATTTTTATAAATATACTTATTATTTTTGTCAATGGTTGCCAATAACATGAGTTAATCTTTTATTTTACACTAGCTTTCGCCAGCGGCTTCGCCCGCGTGGACCCTAGGGAAATGTTTATTGGGATAAAAAGTTTGTTATTATCGAAGTCAGCTAATACCCTATCTGTATATCAAATTTCATCAAAATCCGTTTAGTAGTTTCGGTGTGATTGACCGACAAACAACCAAACATCTAAACATCCAAATAAAGAAACTTTCACATTTGTAATATTAATACGATTTTTCTATAACGATATTTCCGCCAAAGTTTACTGTACAAATTTATACGAACAAGCAAGTACGCATTAACGGTAGAGATATAGAATCAATCATTCTGGAAGAATGTTTGCGAACAGCTAACAGGTGAGGCTCCGGAGATAAAAGTTTTATTAACTTTGGCAAGGATTACTGGAAGTGATAATTTTATATTGATTTTATGATTTTAACCCCAGTTTAAGGAGATAGGCACGTATATTGTTCATTGATATGTAAACGGCATTGATTTTTTCAAGCTTTTATTTAACTTGCTATAATGTATATTGAATCTTCGGCAAATTCGGACGTCTGGTTATGTTTGTGTGCATACAGATATCGAATTTACTAAGAAAAGGTTTGTTAAGAAAAATACCTAAATAAAAGTTATACATAATTAGTATTGATAGCGTATGGATACCGTTCGCTGAGAATATTAAGTTCACTCAAGATGGTGAACTAAAAAACATGTGACTCATCAGTACACATACTATATTTACTTTACTATTAATTGCGTTAATAATTAATTTTTTCTTCACCAGGTGTCCGAGGCCTCCACAACTTGGAGATCAACGTCCCGGACGCAGTACTTGTCGGGGAAACGGTGACACTCGAATGTAGCTGGCAACTTGAAGACGAAGAAGCCCTGTACAGCGTAAAGTGGTATCGCGGCAGGGAAGAGTTTTACCGCTACATCCCGAAAGAGTTACCTCATACCAGAGTGTTCCCGTTACCAGGGATCGAAGTAGACGTAAGTGTGTGTTTTAGCCTTAGTGTTATTCTAATTAGATTATGGAAGTATTGCTTCCGAATATTAATCAATGTATAAATTCACTTTTAATATGTTGTCTCGGGTTTCGAGGATTTTCGCTATCTCAGATACTTCATAAAAAATAAGGGCTTTGTGACGGGTTTGGTGTTTAGATGTTGGTAGTAAATGAAAGAGGCTGACTAGCCTTGATAAGTAGGTACATTTATGGTATAACAAAAAACTATAATAACAAAAAAGAATATAAAAGCAGCTATATTTTAATTTCAATTTAATTTTATATTCACTCACGAATGGATATTTAGAAAGAGCATATCGCGTTACTTAAAATTTCAAATTACGAAAAGCGATAAAAAACAAGACAAAAAGTTTGAATGCTGGAACCTAGGACAAAATAAAAAGGTGTGATACGACGCACCTTTACAACTTAAGCTACTAATCTTGGAATCTGAGCAATATATGTGATTATTTCACTATGTCAATGTCCAATCAAATTTCGTAAGGTATACGTGAAGTCGTATTAAAGCAAAAAATACCTTTTTAAATTAAAATAATTAATTCAATTTAGATAAACACAATAGCATTCATTACGTATAACAACCGTATTCTAATTTAACAGCGCACATTGCGTGTTCAAGGTACATTAAAGAAACGTTTACAATTCGCGTATTGGTTTGAATATGCCAATTTATTTATGCAACAACGAGGTTTGTTTATGTAGACATGATAAACACATGTGAACACGTCAATAACATGCTATACTATGTACGTTCTAAATGTTCTGTCTTTAAATTAGATTATATCTACTATTGTAAGACTAAGAATTAATATATAATTTAAAAGGATAAATTTAGTATTCCCTAAAGCGTGGTTTAAAGTGGGGTTCTACAGTCTTATTTACGGCATGAATAAATAAATGCTATCAAAATTACAAACAAGCTTCACGTATATTAAAAATAAGTCAATTTCGCAAAAGTTCATTTGAAAAAATAACTCAACAATCATTGACGTTAAGCAAAATAATTATTTATTTTTTAATAGATATTTTGCTTCCAATTTTTTCGAGATGACATTTTGCGAATGTTACGTATCGAGTCAAAACCGCATTGGGTGCTTCTTCCGTGTTTTTTTCGGAATTGAATCGATTAGGAAGAATCGGGCGGGACTTCGCGGTGGAGAAATTTTCATTATTCCCTAACTTCGGCAATTAACATGACGTCATGCACGTACCACACGACGCTTAATTTTTCTTTTACTTTTTTTAAGTAGCTGCGTCAAGTTCAATAGAATATACATATTATAGTATTTTTGCTTATAACATACAAATAAATATGTACTAGTATAATATAATATAAATGATCGTAGCTATCATAATAAAGATTATTTTTACAATATTTTTCACGAGTTACATTCGTCTACAACTCAACACAAACACTATATATTTTCATCGAAAACATTGTCTAAATTTTCTACAAGCTCCGTTAATACTGCGGTGATAGCTATGAAAATATAGAAGTTTCTAAGTAAACTAACATAAATATGAGTTATCTTCCTGAAACTGGTGGAAAATAATAAATGGGGAGTACGAAGACTTCCATTTTTCTGAACGAGAACGCTCCTAGATTGTGAAAGTACTGCAAATACGAAAATTCTACAAAGAAAAGGATTCAACATTATGAGATTTTATAATATTCTTCTCTTTTATATCTGTAGTTCCAATCTGATTAGAATAACTAAAATTCTTAATAGAAATCATAATTTTCTTTTCCGCGAGAATGTTTTCTCTGAATTTAAAGAAAATTATGACTTTTTTATGTTAAAATATAACTCTAACTTACGGTTAACAGCAAATAGTATTGTAAAAACTGTCATTTATTTTCTAATTTACTTTCATCCTTATAATGTTAACAGTAAAGTTCGAAATCGGGTGTCACACAGAAATCCATTTCAAAAACGAATTATTGCAAGTGGGAAAAATTTATAGTACATAGAATTCTCTTAAACGTCTTTATTTATTTTAAGTTATTGCAACAAAAGTAATAAAAAAATTGCGAGTAGATATTCAGATCGCAAATGATTAAACCAAAACGTCCAGGTAATAAAATTTAAATGGCGGCTTTTAACACCCAATTAACTTCGAGAATTTAACACCAACAAAGCTGTAAATATTTTTAGGAGCCTATTTTTGTAATATTACGCCCCAAACCATTATAGCGACCCCAAACAAAGTTTATTATAATGGAAACAATAGAAGGATTGAATTTATAAAGGCCGCCTATCAGATTTATTAAAGCTAAGTCTAATATAGAGCTATACGATATTTTTTTCAACTAAAACTATACCGAGTGTACGGAAAGATTGTTTTATTTCTTAATGTAACTGATGGTAAGTGTTTTGTGCGATTAAATTGAGCATTATATAATTTTGATTGTTAGCTCAAGTAACTTGAGATTCATGCATTCTAATGTTGATTTTAATAAAACATATTATAAATTCCACTACAAATTAATAAATACTATAATTTCTAACTCAGAATTTCGCCGATTTGAATAATAGAACTGTATATTCTGTTAAGTCTCTCTCAGGGTACATTTTTACGGAACGTTCTATTACACACACATTATTTTTTGTGTCGTAGATTCTGTCTGTCATGTTTAAGCAAACTAATGAAGTAATAAACAAAGTATACTTTTAAAGCCAATATTACAGATATTATGATCTATGTAATTGGTGAAGAGATATCCTTTAATAGATTTGTTTTCAATGTTTTTCGAATAAAATATAAATTAAATACACTTTAACCTCTGAAAGTACACTTTAAGCCTTAAAGTAAATCAAAGAAAACCTCCTTCCGATAATAAAGCATATCGCTGTAGTTGACGTCGAATTCTAAGGTATTTTTTAAACAGAAAGCATATTCCTTTAGTAGCGCTCTCTTAGGGAAAATCAATAGTTATATGGAAAATAGGAAAGTAAGGGAAGACAGTATATATAATGTGGATACTTTAGACCCAAACAAACGGTTAGGTAAATACAGCTAACTATTCAACATTATTTAAATTTCTTCCAAATTAAATTGTGTGGATAAAATGTTAAATAAACTATTCTTAAGTAATATTATTAAGTTGTTTGAAATTGCAAAGTACTTTATTATAACAGACGGAAAATTGAAACATTTGTCCATTAAAAGTTCAGCTCACCATTCATTACGCAAAGAAAGATAAAATAGAATCTAGATTATTTCTTTTATTATGCTAAAGATAGAAATCGTATATAATATTTGTCATTAACAACACGCCACTTCCACGGTTGTTTTCTCTTTTTTTTGTGAACCGTTCATCGATTTTAATAGTAAATAACAATTAAATATTTCTTTACGCAATTCAAAGTACTTTATTATAACAGACAGAAAATTAAAACATTTGTAGATTAAAAATTTTGTAGCTCACCATTCATTACGCAAAGAATTATAAAAAAATCTAGATTATTTCTTTTATTATGCTAAAGATAGAAATCGTATATAATATTTGTCATTAACAACACTCCTCTTCCACGGTTGTTTTCTATTTTTTTTGTGAACCGTTCATCGATTTTAATAGTAAATAACAATTAAATATTTCTTCACGCTACCACTATTTGACATGTGATAGCGATTTCGATCGAGACATTTTTTGTAAGATATTGAATATACGATATCGTTAATTTTAATGGAGTTCATTAACCCAAGCATTAGTCGCAAAAAATTAATTTATGCTTAAGTTACTAACGCCCGGTTTCTGAATTGAGAATTTGAAGTTGAGCACGGCTCAAACCGTGCTTAAGCCACTTTAAATGTCATTAAAACATGTTTTCATTGCTGATTTATAAATTTTTAATTATCAGTTGATAGCAATTTGGTAAATCTAATACTTTTTGCCATATGAAATGTAAAATAAACTTAATTTATTAAGAATAATCAGTTGAGATTTTGTACTTTCTCAATTCAGAAACCGGCCGTAAGTTTTTATCATTCAAATCAACATTTGTTCCGAAAGCGTTTGCGTCTTTATACGTTACGTAAATCCATAAATTGATATAACATTCGCTATATTTTTGAAAGGGATTTAGATAGATTCCGAAATAAGACAATTAGGAAAGTGGTTTAACTCGCATGTCTTCTGCAGATATCCCGCTCTGGTGCCAGGAGGGTGGTGTTACAGCAAGCGACGCCTGCAATGGCTGGGAGATTTCGATGCGAAGTATCTGCGGATGCACCTACCTTCCATACTGAAATACGATCCGCGCCTCTAGAAGTAGTCGGTAAGTTTTAAAGCTGAAATTATGAATAACGATGAAGTAAATTAACACACCCATCATTGATACCCGAATAGTTCTAAGTCTGCATACTGGACGGCGCTGTACATTTTATGCAATGCGGTCTCATATCAATTTCTCTAATTGTTTAAGTCATAGAGAGCCGAAAAAATGTAAATGCAAGTAAGTAGTACGGAATTCCCAACGAACTACTGTAGCATTTAGTATGTTCGGCTCTTAGATCGCTCTATGATGTGGTTAGTTTGAAATCTAGTGTTTATTTGTCCTCCCACGCGCTTCATCTTTGTATAGGTATAATTTAATCTTCTCAGTATTAAATCTAATCTCACAACCTCACTGTCGTTTCTCCTTGACCTCTCCACCGCCGCCGTGGTAAAACCCCTTTACATTAAAAACACGCAATTTTCCAATTGACAAACGGCGATGTGCAGTAATTTTATTATTATTCCTTAAATAAACACCTAAACCTGTTTAACCTAGAGATGAAACGATACCACATAGGTATCGATACATGACTCGATATTAGTCAAGCGATATCGGTACCTACTTGTATCGAATAGTTTTAAAATGCCTCACACTCGTCGTCATTTTTATAAAATATAAGATACTACTATTGATAGCCAATAGCAATACTTTGTTTATGGTTAGAGATGAAACGATACCACCTAGGTATCAAGATTTTTACTCGATACCGTACCGGACATGAAGTCAATCTGCTCGGTATCGAATGAAAAGTACTTACTCACATAGGTAAGATACTTACTCATATCGAATAGTTTTAAAATTCCTTAGTCATATTTATAGATTTTAGAGCAGGTTTAATACTATCTGGTTACGGAAGAAAGAGAAGCAGATCCAGGCATAAAATGCCAGATAGGTCTTTGACTACATAAAATAAGTAGGTGTTAGCAATGCCTATTGTCATACGACAGGACGTCGCGCCAGCGGGTATTTTTCATGAGACAGACTGTAAACTCCTCACTACCGAGTAAATAGTTGAGCACGCGAGTTTTTTTACTCTCCTCAGTGAGTGACTGAACAAGTACATATACAAATACTTCACGATACTACTCGTTACTTGCTTTTAAAATATAGATACTAACATACTTGGTATCGAAAGAAAAGTATCGAGTAAGTACTTGTATTTACTCTTATCGTTGCATCCTTAAATATACCTATAACGCTAAATTAATATAAAGATACCGCGTGAAGATATAGCTAAAAGTACCAAATATCCCTATTTTTATACTTTCAGTGAAAACTATAAAAACTAGTGTCTAGTGATCAGTAGGCTGGTTAGTCCTCGCCCAAAAAAATTGTTTAGCTGTTCAAAAAGTTTTCTGGGCACCTTACCTATTGGCAATGATTTGGGGGAATATTTTTTATCTAGTATAGTTTTAGTCTAGCGTAGATAAGTAATAATTTGTTAATATTTTTAAAGTTGAAATGTATGAGTAATGAATATTACACATTTCATAAAATAATTTTTATATAAAATTGTTTTCACTGAAGTTATAAAAAGTTGAAAGGCAAACGTTAGTAGATGGTAATATATTCGCTTGATTTGAATATGATATGGTTTGAACTTTTAAGTCATTTCTTACGATGCAAATCATAGCAATTTTTCATGGCATTCACATGAAACATAACCCCAAAAGTATTTTATTCTCGAAAAGTAATAAAGAAAGTAGAAATACATAGTTAAATTATGAGTAACTCTTGAATTAATAATTTGTTACGAGAAAGACTAAAACTGACTTAATTAAAGTTGATGCGAAAGTTAATGGACGGATTGGTGAGGACAATTTGCTGATGAAATCTTACTCTGCCTGTCGCTGAATAACAAATGGTTAAATCTGGGTGCTTTTTACTTAACACTCTCATTTTATTAAATCTAGTTATCTTGATAAAGTATCTTGTTAAGTCTATATACACTAGTTTCAGTAAAGGACGTAAAGGAATAGGATTTGATAGAAGAATATTCAAAAAATTTAAAATACTGTACGACTATAAAATAAAAGCATAGGATTATTAGATAAATTATTAGTGAATCTCCTATTCAAAATGCTGTCTATAAAATGCATTTATTTTAGGAAAAAGGACTGAAAAAATAGTAACAAACTAAATAAATTCTTTAGAACCAACTAATTTTCATTAATGGAGTCAGACCAAACTTTTACTTAAAATTATGTGATAGATTAGTAAAAAACAAAATTAAAAACCCTCGGTCCAAATAATCTGTCTAAAAAGTATAAAAATAATCTTTAAAATCATATTTCAAAACCTTTCTATGGAACATTTGTAATTTAAATTCCTCGACTGAAATGAGAATTTTATTAAGAAAAGGTTTTATGATTTTAAAGATTGTCCATTTTAATACTTTTTTGAGTGATTTTTTGGGTCAGAGTTTTTTTAATATTATTAATTTAAAAAGCATTAAATTTATAACACCAAAAATAAATTTGTATATGATGTTCATAAAAGAGGCTAACAATTAAAAGAACTTTAGAAGCTAGGATGCTATAAGTAAAAACAATTTAAAAAGTAAAACTACGTCATCAGTGCTTGTTGCTCTTAAATTGCCTATCCGATTTTCATACAGCCGAAAACCACCGCGATGAACAAGGCTTTTAAAATAAAATCATCACTCAAATAAGTTATTTATTTCAAACTAGCTTTCCACCAGCTGCTTCGCCCGCGTGGTCTTGTATTATACATAAAAACTTTCCTTTTGAATTTCCTATCTATTAAAAAAAACAGTATCAAAATCCGTTGCGTAGTTTTAAAGATTTAAGCATATATAGAGACATAGGGAAAGAGAAAGCGACTTTGTTTCATGCTTTGTAGTGAAGCTACGGCGCCACAGACAGACACACAAACAGGCGGACAGGTCAAACGTAATAGCACCCCTCGTTTCGCGTCGGGGGTTTAACTCCTCGAATTACTCACCAATAGTTGCCCCTTAACGATCATATATTAACAAAATACATTGATTTTTCGGACACTGTACGTTATGTTACGTAAAATCAATCGTCTGGAAGGGATAAACTTTCTATTACCTACTATGAGAGCCATCATAAAACCGTTGAAAATGTTGGATTATGCGTTATCGTTATTCGTATCTTAAAATGTATGTTATACCGAAAAGGAAAGGGGTTAGGAGGCCAACTTCCGTACATTTTCTTTTTCAGCTCCACTAGAAAGAGACAAAAGAGAAGAGTGCAGCTGAACACTCCATATGTTACCAAGTAATGATACAAAAAGCTCACACGGCTTTAACGTCGCTAATCCGCATGAAATATGAATTGCTCCGATTTTGTCGTAAAAACTTTTAAAAGAACCGTAAAGTGGCGTATTATCTTTTTTTTATTTTCATTATAGAATTTAACTAAATGACACTTTCTTTAAGTTTCTAAAACAGCATTTATAAATCATTAAGGTTTCTGCAAATGTACTTTTTATCTATATCACTAATATTTGAATAATAGTAGTACATACAATTTACATAGATATAATGTACCTATTTAACTCAATCCTATTTATTGCTCAAGTTTTTTAAGAAGTGCGTTTGAAGTAGTCTTTATGTAAACGTTATAGCTTCTTCGCACTTGTAATTAGAAAGATTCATTAGGTACTGACCATTGATTTATAAATTTCGCTTAAAAGTAACTATATATATATATACCATAATCTATACATGGTATAAAAAAATTAGTTATATTATTAAGTAGATACACAAAAGACATACCTATTCCTTTTCTTTATTTGTACCGATAATTAACCTTAAATGTAAAATAATATTGTTTGAACAGTAAATATATCATAAACAAACTTTCAAAGTGTACCTACGCAAAACGTGCCCGATATAAGACTGTTAGGTATTATCCCGTTATCGTAAAACAAATATCACCTGCTAAAAGACATATACTAGTAATATAATATGAAACTTTGGAGGAGATAAATGAAGATGGAAATTTAATAATGTCTGTAGAAGTATGAATTTAGAACTGTTTAATTATTCGTAACGTTATGACGGATTACAGACAAATAGAAGAGATAAGACTGAAATAAAGATCAAAGTAAGAAAAATGTTATATAATAATAAAATGGGATGAGATAGTAAAGACAACAATCAAGATCCCCGAAACAAAGGCAAGAGGAAAATATATGGATCATCAAACATTATAAGAATCTTTGTCCTGACATTACTGACTGACAGACTGACTTAAAGACAACGCAGAGCGGTTTCTTTGGTCGTATACGCTTGAATGAAGGTTACATTTATTTACGTAGAGTTGTACTAAGAATAGATTTTTGGAAATTCCATTTCGGAAAGGTCAAATGGGGTGAAAACATTATTATGAAAGTTCTTTTTCTTTGAACTTGTTGCGACGAAAAATTTCAGTTTTGGAAAATGATCAAGTGCACGTTGTTAATTTCATTCCTTCCTTAAAGGGGGGCAAGTGTAACAGAGATAATCTCGTATTTAGTTCAGCAAGAAAAGAAAAAAAAAGAAAAATATTAGAAACGTACCTTTTTTGCTCCAATTAAATAAGAAATGGTTTAGATAATAGGTATTAAAGTTGAGGAACGGAGGCTCGCTACGTCACAACTATGTATCGTAGAAATTGTACAAATGTGTGACGTCTGTGACATTTCAACTCAATGTATCGTCGTAATTATTATTGATTACCCAGAAAAAGGTATTTAATATGTTACTACAATCTACCTGGGGACAGACAAATAAATAGGCATTCAATACTCAATAAGTTTATTGTTTCCATAGATAACTTAAAATAATGTTACATATTGGTATTCCCCTATTGTCAGTGATCATTTTTTTAAATATTTATTTAATAATATATAAGGTTTGTATTAAATCGGGCGTCGGTGACGCCATTACAATAGGCCCAAGGTATGAGTTAATGTTATTTGTTTCAGAACCACCTGAATGGGGTCCAAAGTTAGTGTCGGATCGGTCGTGGTACGGCGTAGGATCAACACTGCGGGCAACATGTGCCTCTCCACCCGCTTATCCACCAGCTAACCTCACGTTCGCGCTAAACGGAAGAGAGGTATTCACATTATAATTGAATTATAATACAACGGTTTACAGTATTTGTAACTCAGAATTTATTTAAAGGTGGAGCGTAATGATAACCTAATTATATTTTTTAAGTAATTTAAGAATTAAAAAACAAGAATGCTAAAATCGATCTAAAAATAAAAAAGAAATATATTTTAAGTACATTTCTTTCAGTGAGCAGTTAATTATGCATACAGGTTACATTTTTGGAATGTACTTATCGAGCCCTTTAATTATGTATCAACCTTCGCCGCTTTAATTATATATATTTAAATTACGTCATACATCCGCCATATTTAAAAAATATATAGCCAGTGTCACCCGGGAGTCCTCTAACGTTTATTGATACATTTTTTTGGCCTGATAAAGTACTTCCATGTTTATTTAAAATTTCATAAGGTAAAAAACATTCTTCAAAATATATAAAAAATAGGTATTATTCGGGTTATGAAGCTACTTAATCGTTAATAGTTTGCATTTTCTCGAACCATTCACCTGCGCCTGAATAACGCAAGGTCAAATTAATAAAAAAAACGGTGAGTATCTAAAACGTTATTATGTCTCAAAAAGAAGATATTGCCTTGTTTGTTCAGCTTATGTATTTTTATAATTGTGTATGTAAATTATATTTTTATTAATATATATCTGTAATAGTATTTTGTTTTATATTTTTATATACGACGAACGCAGTAGCACAGCGTGATAACTTCTGGCAGTATTCTCACAGTAGTATTGTACTCACTGTACTATATATGAGTGTTAAAGAAGCTAAAAACGTTTGTCAACGACTCAGGAGTTTACAACGAATTGTTAGTATTTAATAAAATCAGACCCCGTTATGTGAATTTCCATTGCAACAAGTATAAAATTACAATATTTAACTGAGATCATATTTTAATAATTAGGGTCAGAAATTATCTAGAGCTTGTCAATATTGTATAGTCGGATCTGTTAGGAAAAAATAGTAAAATGATATACTTACTCACATAGAAATATATATTCTTGATTATACAAATCTGAGTAATTTAAAAATAGATATTTGAATGACCTCATAATATAATTTAATATAATATCAATATGTTAATATATATTCGTAGGAATGTATTATTTTATTAAAATTTGTTTAAAATATAACATCTGTAAGTCTCGTAATATGTCAAACATGATACATACATTTGATAATGTTGGTTTCCATAAACTAAGCAATATACTATGTACAAGAAATTAAAAGTTCCGACAAGATAGGTACTGAAGCTAGACAACTAATTATAAACAAAAAAAAAGGAATTTATTCCAATATAGAAATAATAAGTTTAAAAAAATCGAAGCAATTAGTAAGGTAATTTCTAAAAACATAAGGGAACGCAGGAATACAATACAACTAAAAACTATAAAACACTAAGAAAAAAAGAGAGGAATAATAAAGAGCTCTAAAACAACACAAAAACTGGATTTTTTATTAAAACAAATAAAGATGGACAAAGCAAAGGCAATTTCACTTCAAAAAGGCATTTGATAACAATAATAACGACATACTATTATAATAAACTTTATTTGAATGACGAAAATATATACTACGATCAGAACGATGAAGATATTCCAAGTATCATTCCATCAGAAGTGAGAAACGCAATTGCATCTCAAAAAGACGAGAAAGCAACAAAAGAAGACCTCAGGGTATCAAACAAATTACTGAAAAAGACTATGCACATAATATTAACCAATAAGTATTATATCTAATACTTATGACGTCTTCTCCAAAATTATTCTAGAATGACTCAATAAGCGCCTAAATGAACAACAGTCAAAAAAGCAGGCTGGGTTAAGGAGTTATTTTTTCATTTATATGTTGTTAACCAACTTCTAGAAAAATACAATTAATACAGAAAACCACTATATATCGTTTATGTGGATTACAACAAAGTAAGATTACAAAACAATTAAATCTCTTTATACTAATAGTCTATTTATAAAGCTTTGAAGAACCAAGGAATAGAGAACAAATACATCAAAATTATCAAACAAATCTACAACAACAGTACTTTAAAGATCCGCCTGGAAGGAGAGATGGAAAAGAGTTTCCTGTGAACAGAGATGTAAGACCCTCTATCGCCAATACTATTTTCGGCTGTACTTGAAGAAATATTCAAACAAGTAGAATGGAGTACATATGGAGTAAACATAAATGGCGAAGGTTGATCTCAGATTTGCAGACGATATCGTTTTATTCTCAGAAGATCCAAAAGAACTACTACTCTTATTGCAGCAACTATCTCACGAAAATAAAGTGGGGGGTTTTATGATAAATAAATTAAATACCAAAGCAATGACCAACCATATTAAAGTTAAGATATAAGTAGGTGGTAGAGCAATCGAGTATCTTGATGAATATATCTATCTGGTCAAATTATATCTCCAAAGGAGAGTGGTAAGCAGATGGTCACGATACTGGTCACTTGGACGTATTAAAAAGTAAGGGCCTACCTATAGAGATCAAAAGAAAAATGTATAACACAACAATGTTACCTATACTAACATATAGGTGTCAAACTTAGACCTGTAATAAACAAAATATTCAGCTAATAAAGGTGAGTCAACGATCAATGGAAATAAGTACGTTACACCTAAAACTTAAAGACAAAAATTAAAATGTTTGAAGTAGAATGGAATTGGTCTTATTTTAAGAGAAAAAAAAGAAAAGTGGACCAGATCTATTACTGAATGGTACCCAAGAGAGGAGAATCAGGGAAAGGGAAGGCCAACAAAAAGATGGGATGATGATTTGCCAAATCGTTGGAGGAGATTCCACGATTCACAGTCCATTCCATCCGGGAATGGCGAACCATGGAGGAGGCCTCGGAGGACAACCAGACGAGTAAAGGATAGCTGCTGACGCAAAATAAAAATAATGTATAGGTATAATATTTAAAACTAAGCCAAAATATAGGAAGATGGTCAGAGAATAAAGGCTATTTTTATATATTTTTAGCAATGTATACATTACTAGATATATATAAAAATAAATATGTTTAATAAATACTAAATGGTTTAATAAAAATAAATATTTTGACAAGTATAGGGTTATCTATTCATATCCGGTAAGTCGTTCAAAATGTATGTGTTTATGTTACATAATAAATAGGATATTAAGTATACTATACTTAATATTCTAATTAATTGTACTACATACAATAACTTACGAGAACTTTGGTGAATACAAGTTAAAATTTCAATATTTTTTTTATTACTCACTCATATATATAGTTTTAAGTCAATATCTTAATTAACGTATAAAAGTATTAGCCCTTTTGTTTTTACTATAACAATATTAAACATAATCCCATTTATTTACATTTCACTCCAGTCTCTGTGAATTTATAAGTACATGATTAATTAAATACTCTTAAGTTCAGAGCAGTAAGTGCTGTTAGTAAATAAAAATAGAATGATCGTCTTATTTTTTTTATAAAGTAAAATGTGATAACGATATGTTACGAATATAGTTTTGTACGTAAAAACAATGATATGAAGTTATAAATATCTATCGATATGTTATTGTACTTATCGAAAAAACATAAATGTTGATTTCCTTTCGTTACTTTCTTTTAAGTTTGTAATATGTTTTCATTTCAACCAAGTATGTTTATGGCATTTAATCTATTCAAGTAAATAGGACATGATATACTTTCCATAATCAGATTTCTCTCTTTATAGAAAACTTTATTACTGTGCTCTAATGAAGTTTATGGCGTCATCACAGAGTTTGTTTTTCACCGTAATATCATTACGACACTTGTTTTTCCCACTCCTTTTTGTCTACTTCCTTTGTTATTGCTCAACATGTAAGGGACTAACTAGATTTATTCAACTCTATTCAGCTTTTGTTTATATAAAAAGCAGTGTCGTATGGAGATGCTTACGCTTAGCTTTCTACGTCCTTTCAGATTTCGCATCAAACAGGCATAGATTGAAAATAACTTTATATTAGACATTAGAATGCTAACAAAAGCATTAAGCGTTGTTCTGTCGAATTCAGATAATCTATTTTGTAATAAAATCAGCCGCAAACTTGACGTCGAGCACAGCGCGCACAAAATAGAGTCTCACTGTCTTAACTTTTGAAGTAGGTTATCTGTGATTGAATTTCTATGCTGTGACAAAGAAGAAAATAGCACTACAGCGCTATACGTGATCGAAAATATGTGACTTGTATAAGGGCGCTTTTCCTGAACTACCAACACTCAACTCGGAGGAAGACAATTTCCTTTGTTAGTTGCTATCATTAAAGTAGGACCTTAAATGCAGCTCCTGCAAATCGAGCTGCTCCAAACTCGAAAGGAAAGTTAAGCAGTTGCTCCTGGCTGCTTATACCAAAACACACTAGGCCCGCATGGCTGGTTATGACCCGTTTTCCCTATATGATTCCATGCATATGGAAGGCCTGTGACTCAGAAGCGGGAACATTAATTAGCTGATGATCATGTGGGTGTGTTACCATTTTATAATGACAGATTACCGATGTGTTTTAAAAAGCATGGCTTCGATATTGAAATGGTGGTGTGCATATACATACAGTTGCACGACAATAACTTTTTAATTATATTTGATTAATATTGTCGTAACTAACCTTTTGTATCGTTTTCATTCCTTAGATTCATATCACTTATTTCACTCATATCGATAAACTTTTTAGTGTTTTGCATTTATATTCTTTACTTTCTTCATTCTATAACAATGGACCTTCAATTTTATACCTGTAACCATTAAAATTCTGTAATATAAACTTATCCAAACCTTTACGAACTTTCATCCTATGTTTTTGTCTACTTATACTAATGTGAACCCTTACCTGTACTTTTCATAGTTTTTCTTTATACATTTTACCAATTCTAATCATATTAAAGCACTTATTTACAAATTATAACACAAATTATCGCTAATTTTAATTGTTTTGACAGAATTGACATTAAAGTTTTTCTTCGTTGCTAT